TTTTTTGTGACATATCTGTAGTAATACTTATGTATTTTGAGTTGTTATATAAGTGGATCGAAACGTCCTAACAATGGATCGAAACGTCCTAAAAATGGATCGAAACAACTTGGATCGAAACGTCTTTGGATCGAAACGACCGGTATTCCGTAATTAGGCTGAACAAATTAGACATTGTTTGTGTTACGGAGACTTGGTTGAATCCCAACATTCCTGAATCTGCCGTGTCGATCAAGGACTTCACCCTGTTCCGCAAGGATCGCGGCTCACCCTGTGGGGGAGTTGCTGCATATGTAAACTGCTCGATCCCATGCAAACAACTTCATCCGATGGAAATGTCCGGCACAATAACAGAGACTCTGTGGCTTCAATTAAGACCAGTACGACTACCCAGAGAAGCCACATCTCTTATCCTTGGGATTGTGTATCATCCCCCTGATGCAAAAGCCGACGACAACCAAAGGCTATACGATTATGTGCAGAACGTGGCAGATTCCTATCTACTAAATCATCCCGAGAGCCTTATATGGGTCACAGGGAACTTTAACCCGAACAGCAAAAAGATCTCGCAGCAAGTTTTCAAACGCGCGTGTGGCTTGTCCCAGATCGTAAAGGTACTCACGCGGGACACCGGCACACTTGATTGGTGCAYGACCAATCTTCCCAAGCTATTCGTCGATCCCATCCAGCTACCCAAACTCGGGGCGAGCGACCACTTTTGTGTTCTCGTTCAGCAAAGTGACCTAAGCTGTAAAGTTCGAGAGAAGCAGACGGTGACCAAAAGAGATACAAGGAGTAGTTGCCTGCGGGAATTCGGACAATGGATTACCACTTTTTCTTGGCACGAGATGTTCGCTGCGTCGTCCTGCGACGAAAAGTTTCAGGTGTTTATGGAAACTATAAATCGTGCAATTGAGAAGTTCTTCCCCCTGAAAACGTGTCATCGTTACAGCTCAGACAAGCCATGGATTACCAGCAACATTAAACACTGGATTGCTAAGAGACAGCAGTGTCTTGCATCCTCTGGCAATGACTCTCCGCAGTACAAAATGTGGCGTAACAAGGTATCACGTGCTATACAGACATGTAAGGCGTCTTACTATAAGAACAAAGTTAAAAACCTGAAAAGCACCAATCCAAGCCGTTGGTGGAGAGAAGTTAAGAACTTGTCAGGCCAGTCGTGCAATGAAGGGAAATGGTACACACAGCTCATTCGAGGTGACATAGACTCAGTGGACACATTGTGTTGCAGGATTA